AACAAAGCATGTTTGCCCTACACAATTATGTTAAATAATCATAAAGTGTGGGTATACGATTTTTTTTTTCAATTAAGTTAGTGAAAGGCCAATGTACATTGTATATGTGAACAATATTCATGATATCATGTAACAGGTAATAACGACGACGACAACAATAATAAAAGAATTCTTTCCGTATTTGGAAATAAACCGCTAGTAGGTATATGTCGGTTCAAATCTAATATTAATTATTTCATATATATGCGAGTCCAATGAATTCCAGCGTAGATATGATATGGCTAACAAATGAGTTACCAAAGATGCAAATCTTCTCTTTGTATATAAAGGAAGATAATACCTATTTGGGAGCAAACCTTTATGTAGAAAAAAATTGTTACGTTCAATACTCAGATTGGTATCATATTAAACGCTTTATTGAGATTTTTTGGGCATGCTGGATTGTGGAATTGAAAACTTTGGGTGCGTTTAGAATTGGTTCCAAAACGTTTTTATTTTCTATATGAAAATAGAAATGAAAACGTTTTCATTTTCATTTTGAAATTATTTCTGAAATGCGTTTAGTAGTTTTATTCAGAAATTGATTTCAGTTTTAAAAAAAACTGAAACTGCATTTCGTGGTTTAATTTTTAAAAACATGTAATAATATTTAAAATAATAATATATTAAATAAATATTACAAAAACAGTTTCAGAAAAGAGAGAAGAAAATGAAAAAAAAAAATGAAATCTGTTTTCAGAAAATGAAAACACATTTTTTTCGTTTTTAATTTTTCACAAAAGACAAAAACGATTTTGTTTTCGTTTTTAAAAAATTTTTAGGCCAAACGCATTTTATGTTTCCGTTTTCATTTTTTAGTCTCGAAAAACATGAAAAATGGAAATGAAAACGGAAACAAACAGGGCCTTTACGTTTTAAGATATATGCAAAGATGGATAAATATACGCTAACATGGATAAATATACATTTTAGCATTCATTTGGACTATCTACAGGACTTTGTGAGCCGAACATGAGTTTAGGAGAATATTGCACACTTAGTTGTTTGCTAGCACCCATCCTCACCGTCCACATGGTTTATTGTACGACCGGCGAGGATTGGTGACACCTGGAACCACTCCTGACAAAGGTGTACGTCCCTACTACGGGGGCCCCAGGTAAATTGTAGGCCTGACACAGACCCAACAACATACTATAAATACTCTATTGTCATTTATTGAGGTATGGACTATTTTCCCACCTAACTCTGTCATCCACTTACTGTTCGGAGTAGGACACTGACTTGAGTCAGAGGACAACTGGTTGGCACCACACCGGTGCCCCAAGTTCCTTAAGCTCATCTCTTTCTTTCACCTGTGCAGGTTAGTCCTATTCTGCTCCAGAGCAGAGTTGCTCTGACGACTCGATCAGTAGCAGCGGAGAAGGTGTGTTCGACCACCATACGCAGCCGCACGTGGTGTTACGTCAAATTTAAACATCAACATTGTTTGTGACCATATAAATTTTTTTAGAATAAATCATCCATGAATAAAAGATTTTACGTTAAAATTAGGGTTCTTCTATGATAGAACCTCCTACAAACGGTCTATGTTTATGACCGTTGTATCTAATCAAAATCACATTAAAATCAAATAAAAAAGAAAACTGTGTAGAATAGAAAGTTTCCAATTAGATTTGTGGCTAAAAAAACAAAGACATAACGGTAGGTCATTTTTTTTTCCAAGTTCTATACAAAAAATCTCTTAAAATTAGTGATGAGTCTTCTTGAAATTTTCATAAATTTCTCAATAATTTGATTTCTTCGTCAAATGTCTCTAAGTTTAAGGTATAATATTTCTACTAATACTTTTTTTTTTAATTCTTGGCATGGATAAATGTCATGCCAGGTCGAGACTTTCCTTGAAAGTATCGATCAAGACTGTAATCTCAAATAATAATAATAATAATAATAATATTATTATTATTATTATGATTATCATCATCATCATCATTAATGATGATAATAATAATGATTGTAATAATTAGTGAGATGTCCTTTGATACTGCGGTGCTATGCCCTCTGCCTTGTATTTTTATTTTTTTCAGGAAATAGTAGAAAATAGACCAATATGAAAAGCTTAAGAAAGTATATAGGCTAATTTTTAGTTATAGAAATTAATATGTCATAACTTGTCAAGTTATGGTTCGTAACCAAATAAGTTATGGACAAACTTGTCAAGTTATGGTTCATAGCCAGACAAGTTATGGACAATTATGGACAATAACTTGTCAAGTTATGGTTCATAACCAAACAAGTTATGGACGAAAACAGTAATTTGGCATATTTATTAATTTATGTAAACTATTGGCCTATTAATTTTAATTCATCTCAAGTCTTTACCTATTTTCCTCTTTCTCACTTTTTTTCTTGTTATCATCACAATGTTTCGGCGAGAAATTAACAGTAGTGGAATATAGTATTACTGGTAGCACGGTATACTACTGCCCGGTAATATGTATGGCCTGTTTAGTTCGCTGATTCGAGTTGAGATGTGACTTTATGTGAGAGCCTTTTACTGTAGCAAAAAAGTTAGATGTGATTGTTTGTGAGAGCTTTTTACTGTAGAAAAACTTGAATCAGCGAAATGAACGGGGCCGTAGATTATAGCAGCAGAAGTTTCTAATCACGGTAAATGTGATATTTATCCTTGTTGCCGCTTTTTCCATATGGATTGACATTTAACAGAGTATCTAAAACTATAGACTATTATATTTATGTCATATGGCACAACAAAACTTAGAGTAAGAAACCTAAAATATCCCCTCAAATGAATTAGGTTTTTTTTTTTTTTTGATAGGTCTTCTTTCCTCTTCATTCTCTCCTTACACTTCCTCTTTTCTCTCCGTCTCTTTTCTCAGCCGCCATTCCTCAGCGACGCAGTCCATCTCGTTGTGTCGTCGTCGTGCTTCTCAACCTAGATGTTTTTGAAGTCGACAAAGAAAAAGAGATCTCACCGTGAAGGAGCTCAAGCCTTGCAGTGCCGATCTGATCATGGCCTTGTAGTGCCGCGACGATGACGGTGGTGAGATCTTTATCATGGGCCCGCGATGGATGTGTGGAAGAGACCTCCTCATGGTTCCATGGCGATAGAGAGATTTAAGTAGATCGGCGATGGAGAGATTCGAGCCTAACATGCGGCCTTGCAATGTCATGACGAGCACGATGGCAGGATCTTCATTTTGGTAGACATGTGGAGATCCTCTGTAATTCCGTGGAGATGGAGAGATCCAATTCTGTGGTTTTTCTATTTTGAAGTTTTGATGATTTTTTGTGATTTATGGATTTTGTAAATTTTTTTTTGTTTTTCTCTGTATATTATTTATGATTTTCGTACATTCTGATAGTGGTCATGGTTGTGCTTCCAAGAAGAATATAATGGCGTGTTAGTTTATCAATTCATCCCAAAAGCTTAAGCTGTTAGGAGGTGGACCAACAATAGTTTTATACTTTAACACTCCCCCTCACGTGTGGGCTGGACAATGGGCAATCGTGTGGGTAAATTAATTAGAAAGCCCAACATGTGAATATATAAGCCCGAGATATATTAAAAACTCAACACATGATGACAATTTTAAATGAGGATAAAGAGTACAATTACGGGGGTTTGAACTCAGGGCATTCCGCTCTAATACCATGTTAGTTTACCAATCCATCCCAAAAGCTTAAGCTGTTAAAAGGTGGGCCAACAATAGTTTTATACTTTAACATGACGGTTTCCGGAGGATACCAGTCATGATTTTAGTCAGTATTTGGTGGATACCAACCTGTGTTGGGAACTTTTTTTCTTTCTGTTAATTTTGTTTGTGATTCTCTCTTATTTGTGACTGATTCTTATTGTTTTTTTTTTCCCTGGTGATTTTGGTATATTATTGTAATTTTTTAGCATTTCAGTGAAAAAATATTATCAGGTTGTTAGATATTATTATTGGATACCAATGGTATTACAGTTTGATACCAACAGTCATCAATCGGTAATCGCTGGCGGCTAGTATTACGGTGGTTACCAATCAATTATTGTGATCGATAGTGGATACTGACGACATATTAGAGGTTCTTTTTTTATATATTTCAAGATTTTATGTAATTATTTCTTTCATATACGTTGGTTTTTATTGTCTGCAAGTTTTTTTTTTCCATAACAAAACTTAATCTAAGATTTTTTTTTTAAACTCTATATCTGTATCTTATGATAGAATAATTACGTGCAACCACGTTAATCAAAAAACTATATGAGTGTGACTGAGGGTCTTAATTCATGTTAGTGGGTCGTGTTCATATTAATTCATTTATTAATCGTGTCAGAAAACATTAACTTAAACATGACTTGTTTAATGTCAAAAATGTCAACCTAAACACGACTCATTTATTAATCGTGTTAATCATGTTAACTCGTATAACCCGTTTAAATTAATATATTAAATAAATAACTAATATAATAATGACTTATTTAACACTGTCAAAATAAGTTTAACATATTTATTGGTCAATTTATCTTTTCCTTTAAGAAAAATAAATGAGTTTTACCTACAAATATTAAAATTCACATTATTTGTATTTAATATGTCATATAAATTTTCATGTTATATCATATATCATTATATTGTAAATGACACATATAATTAATCGTGTCAATTCATATCACTTCGTATTAGGAGGTCAATCTTAACCCCATCTATTTATTAATCATGTTAATCGTGTCAAATCTGATTATGATCCAAACCTATTTATAAGAAATTTAAACCCACTACTTCATACGAATTTTGAGTCATATCATCGTGTAGCGATCTGAATTGTCAATTCTAAGTGTGACTTTTGTGTGAAGTCGGAAACGTGAAAGTTGTCTTTGGACTTGTGAGAGGGATATTGGGCTTAGGCCCAACATGTAAGCCACTTTAAGCCCACAAAACCAGGCGAGCTCGCCGCAACTACGCGGCTGCGCCTCTCTCTCTCTCTCTCTCCCTCTAATCGCGATTTCTCTGGGCGTAAAAAGAAGCAAAAATTCCCAACTTTCGCAGCATCTCCTAAGCTGAGAGGTGACAGAAATGGAGGACATTGAGGATTTGCTGGTCGGAAGCACTGGCGGTGCTCCTCCCGGCTTTCGCTTGCCAGTCACCGCCGTTGGATTGAAACCGAAGAAGACCAAAAACAAACCTCTTCTCAATAAAAACAATACCCTCGCTCCTAATATCCCCGGCACTCAGGTTTCTCTCTCTCTCTCTCTCTCTCTCTCTCTCTCTCTCGCGTAAATTCTGATTTTGTTTTCATGTTGTTTTTGGCAGACAATTTATATAAAGACCTTCGGATGCTCACACAACCAGGTACAACTTTTATTTTAGATACTGACACACTTTGTTGCTTAATTATGACCTGAAAATGGGTTTTATTATATACCAAAAGGATGAGATATTTATGGTTAAAGCATTCAATTATGCTATAGGTTTTCATTTCTTTTAAGAACAGTATGAACTCTGTGGAAATTTTACATTTTACAGTTCCCAATATGAATTGTAGAACTTTTTTTTTTTTTTTTCTGAAAATGCTTTTGGTTGACAAATCAATGTTCTAATTTAGTCTTAGACTCCAACTTAATATTCTTATTAATTTTTTACCCTTTTTTTCCTAAAAAAAAAAAATCGTTGCAATTTTTAATGTGTCAGAGTGACAGTGAGTATATGGCTGGTCAGCTTTCAGCATTTGGTTATTCGTTAAGTGACAACCCTGATGAAGCAGATCTCTGGCTTATAAATACGTAAGGATTTTCCTTTTTCTTTCTCTTATTCTGAAGTTGGCCTACTTGTGTTATGAGATTCAGCAGATCTCTGGCTTATAAGTACGTTCCGAAAAGATATATCAAAACTAGTTTTTGTTGCTTCTTGGTACTGCATCAGTCTAACATATCTTATGTGCGCATTTGTTGCTTGTTTGTTAGTTTATGTTAGGAACCCGGAAATCTGAACTTCATTAACAATACTGAAAATGGAAAACAAGAAGATAGAATGGGCAGTTTTTAGGACCCCCAACCTCCAAGACAATGCACAGCACTAGACACTCCTCACAAATCTGATCATAAGCCCCTAATGACCTATTAACCACTTATTTATACTACTAAAAGACTAATAAAAAAAAGACTACTAACTATCAGGTTCCTAACGGTTTACGTGTGTCTTTTTGCATTTATATGCTGTTCTTTACATTTTATGTAGTGCTAAAGAATCAAGTGAAGGTTTTTCAATCTTTATGCCTTCCCATTTGCGTACATATAAATATGGAATTAAAAGTATGTTTCTGAAATTAATAGTGTTTGATTCTTGTTACTTGATGCAGCTGTACGGTTAAATCTCCAAGTCAGTCTGCAATGGACACTCTAATAACAAAAGGCAAAAATGCCAAAAAGCCACTGGTGGTGGCTGGTTGTGTGCCTCAAGGAAGTCGAGATCTGAAAGAACTTGAAGGGGTCAGTGTAGTAGGAGTTCAGCAAATTGACCGAGTTGTTGAAGTTGTTGAAGAGACCCTGAAAGGTCATGAGGTGAGGCTGTTGACCCGCAAAACATTGCCTGCACTCGACCTTCCCAAGGTATGTATCATAGATTTCTAGTTATTTAGTATTGGACGACTTTTTTTAAAAATTTTAGCTTTACTTGCTACATTTTTAGTTCCATTCTAAAAATTTTCTTTCAATTCCTTTTAGATTAATATATATTAATTCTAAAAATTTTCTTTCAATTCCCTTTATATTAATATATCTTAATTCCGCTATAATCTAGAGGTGTATCTAATTCAACTTTTTCTAACAGGTGAGAAAGAACGAGTTCGTTGAGATTCTTCCAATTAATGTCGGTTGTTTAGGTGCCTGCACTTACTGCAAAACAAAGCATGCTCGTGGTCACTTGGGGAGCTATATAGTTGATAGCCTTGTAAGTGGTGTGTCATCAATTTCTGTTTTCCATTTGCGTTGGTTCCAAATTTATTAGAATGTCAACACTGCAGGTAGGACGGGTAAGAACTGTCATAGCTGATGGAGTTAAGGAGATATGGTTGAGCAGTGAAGATACCGGAGCTTATGGTAATCTACACTGAAATTCATTATTTGTTGATTGTGTTATGGATGTGGAAGTACTTGGGTCATTTATTTATTTGACGATGTTATCCAAAAAAGAAACAAATGAATGACTAACAGCTATGGAACTTTAGCTGAAATGATAAAAGTATGGAGTGCGGTTATTGTTTATCTCACATAAATACTCACAAACCCTGTCAATTAAACCAGCCACCCAGCCCTCAAATCTCGGAGCTAAATGCAACCATGGAAATTACTAGAGAATACACAAAAAAATGAGAAATTATTTAGGATGTAGTTAAACCAATCTACGTAATTGTAAACTAATGGTACACAGCTTTGCAGGTCGTGACATTGGGGTCAATCTTCCAATTTTGTTGAAGGCCATCGTTGCTGAACTTCCTCCTGATGCAAGCACAATGCTTCGCATTGGCATGACAAACCCTCCTTTTATTCTAGAGCACTTAAAAGAGATAGCGGATGTTTTGCACCACCCATGCGTATATTCCTTCTTGCATGTACCAGTTCAATCTGGAAGTGACGCAGTCTTGACTGTAAGTACCAACATTTTTCCTCCTCAAAATAGGCAAACTGCATTATGCTCTGATAGTTTTTCTCATCTGCTGAGACTTTAATGATCAAAATAGAGCTATTTCCACAGACATGTGATTCCTGTTGCATTAGTATATATCATGCTGATGCGACTCTAAATGTCTCAGGCTATGAATCGGGAATATACTGTTAGTGAGTTCAGGACTGTGGTAGATACCTTGACTGAGCTTGTGCCTGGGATGCAGATTGCAACGGATATAATATGTGGATTTCCTGGTAAGTGTGTGGTCAGTGTACCGGCTTACATTTAAAGGATCTTGTAGATTATTGATCACACAAATGATTTTCTTTCTAATTTACTTATCTACTACTCATTTGGGGCCTTTTGCCCTTTCTTGTGATAGCTAACACCATTTCAAGTCCTATCTTTTCAGTGATTTTTCTATAATGTTTTTTGTATTACACTCTACCTATTTTTATTATTCCTCCTTGATCCAGACGGTATATGCTAGGATGACAAGTATTATTTTGTTAAAGAAATTTGGAGGATTAAAGTGTCCTTAAGTTGTTTAGGAATTAGTGGTTGAGAAACCTACTCCGTGGGTTTTTCAGGTGAAACAGATGAAGATTTTGCTCAAACCATTGGCCTTATCAATAAGTACAAGTTCCCCCAAGTTCATATATCGCAATTTTATCCTCGACCAGGTATGTTGATAGTCAGGTACAGCACTTGTAGATTTTACTATTCCACCAGATCATATGGTAGGTAGCAGGATGCAGACTTTCTTAGAATAGCTTGGACATATATGCATCCATCCTCTATAATTCTGCTTCTTTCTGAACTCAGGGACGCCAGCAGCGAAAATGAAAAAGGTTCCCAGTACTATAGTGAAGAAACGGAGCCGTGAGTTGACTTCGGTTTTTGAAGCTTTCACACCTTATAATGGGATGGAAGGGAGGGTGGAAAGAATTTGGATAACAGATATTGCAACAGACGGAGTTCATTTGGTACGTTTATCTGCAAGTGTCTAAAATTCATGATGTAATGGAGGGGCTAGACTCTGCAACATCCCTGTATGCTTTCAGTCGTAAATTCCACTTGTATGAATTAATTGATGGCATATTTTTAATAAAGAAATCGTTGTTCCTTCTCTCCAGGTTGGCCATACCAAGGGATACGTGCAGGTGCTTGTGGTTGCTCCAGAGAGTATGCTTGGGACTTCAGCCATTGTGAAAATAACATCCGTGGGAAGGTGGTCAGTTTTTGGAGAAGTGATCGAGACTATCCAGGATGTAAATTACAAGAAAACTTCAAGCACGAGATCGTCTAGTGAGAACAAATGTAGCCCGTGCTCCGACCCCTGCAATGCCTGTGCGTCTTCAAGAGTGCAAGAAACCTGTGCTTGTGGACCTGAAGGCTGTGGAGGAACTACTTTGGAAGAAAGTGCCGTCTCAACAAATGCCATCCCACAAGAGGATCGAAGTAGCAGAAATCTGATTGGATGGTTGCTTAGGAAGAGAAAGAACAATGTTGTGCAAAAAATGGAGAGTGAAGTTTCATCTGGATTTAAGAAAAAGCTAGAGTGGGTTGGAGAAAGCAAGGGTTCGTGGAATGTGGTCGATAGAGTTCTTCTGGGTGGAATACTTGTGAGCTTCCTGACAATTTTAACACTACTAATACATCATGGATTTAGGACTTTGTCTAACTAACAAAACATTGGTTTTTTTGTTTTTTGTTTTTTTTTTTTTTTTATACCTACTTTTGTCAACAATTTTGATTGAAGATGTTCCCATATGCAATTTTTTGGTTACTTCCATTTGGACACATTTGTTGTATGATTGTTATGATGGATCATCTTGGTTCTACGTAGATAGCTAGACAAATTCATTACTTCATTACTGTTTTTTGGGTAAGAGCTCGATGCAGTTGTGGTGGGCACAACTTTTTGATTCTGGGTTCTGGCTAGAACCGCTTTAGGTGGCTTAGCAGCCTTCGGTCATTGAATCTTCTTTTTTCATTTTTTTTTTTTTTTAAATTCCCGAACAAATAAACCAGCTGAACTCCGAGGCAGAGAAGAAATAGATACTGTAAGGTAGAGTTAAAAAAAAAAAAAAAGTTGCTATTATAGATAAGCATCAATAAAGTCGGGATATACACATCTTTAAAACGTGAGAATCTTATTGAGTGGGGCTAGCATGAAAAAGGAGCAAATTATTGTCGTCTTCTACTGCTACAAAGCAACGCCGGTGCGATTATTCGTTCAGCCAACAATCATGTTGCTTCTTTCTCCATAGCAACTGCGTGTAAAAATGCGTGACAAAATCCCCTTCCGTCGGTAAAAATTGTACTAAACAGGTAAAAATAAATAAACTTTCCCACTTTCTTCTTCACAGCAACATTTCGGACTTGGAAGGTAATCTCTTGAAGAAGTTGACAGGAACAGAAGGCAGTCTGCTCCTGAACCGTGGATGCCTCAACCAGTACAGCCCAACCAACAATGCCACAACCTGGAAGGGCGTGACGTAGATGAACACAGCCCATATCAAAGAGAAGATGATGAATATGGCCGTGGCTCTTGGATCCCTCCAGCTCAACAAGGCTTGTGCCCTTTCCAATTGCGAAGCCAAATCCCCCACCACGCTCTGCACTCTCCCCGCCACGCTCCGCAGCCTGTCGTACCTTATCCTCACGATGTCCGGCCGCTGAGTAGTCGGGAAAGTGTCGAACTCTTCCTCGAGCTCATCGGGGTGGGCAAACTCCGCCTGCGAGAGGCGGGCGTCCATGTGGGGCGGGTGCCGTGGCCTGAACCGGTAGTTCCACATTCCAATCACGAAGAGGTAAAGGAAAATCGTGGGCAGGATCAGTTCCGGGTAGCATATCAGCATCAAGAACAGGACGTGGACGAGAATGGTTGTGATGGGGTTCTTCCAATAGCAGATTTCGTCTAACCATCTACACACGCTGGAGAGGCCAGAGAGAACAGCCATTATGCGTTGGAAATTGGCTTTGCTTCTTCTTAGGCTCCACATGTGGTAGTCCACGTCCAACATATACTCCACATTCTCTCGCCGAAGTGGTGGCTCTGCTCTCCCCAGCCTTGCCGCGACAATCTGCATTGCCTGGTGGCGCAGCAAATCGATGTGCTTGACCGGAATCGGTTGGACGTAATGCATTTTCGGCAGTAACGGCTTGCCGTATTGTGCGACCATGTTGACCCAAGCTATGCAAGTGAATCTTAGCGCCAATTGGAGTTCGCCGTGCTTCTTCAAACCGGTTGGTGTGAGAACAAGAAGCGGGTAATAATGGGTGTAAATTCGATCGGTTTCAAGAGTCGATAAACGAATTCTGACTTTCCCAATTCTCTGGTCTCTTGCGTCATCTTTGTTTCCGTTTGTGTGGCAATTATCGAACACCCCAATGGTGATCACCGTACAAGGGTCGTAAACTTCCCAAGTGTACTGCTCGTTCCAACGAGGAGCCAATGTGTCGAGAAGCGTCCTGGTCCGAACCCATTTGTTGCCATACTTGGCCACACAATAGGCATCGGTGACCCTCCCTTCTTTGCCCTTCATAGGAAGCAAATTTCGAGCACTCAAAACCCCAAGCTCAAGAATCCCAATACTCTGCTTCCTCAAATGCTTCGACGACGGCTGAAGATCGCTGCTGAAATGCGTAGCCTCGTCGAGAACATGATATCCCGCCTCCAAGCAAAGCAGGAGGTGAATCTTGCTCGAGAACTTCTCCTTCTTCTTCTCCGTCTCCTCCTTGGCCGCGTCCGAGGGCTTATGGAGGTTGAACCACCGCGGGTCGGGGAGTTTACTAGTCTCCATCCTGTGCGGAACGTCCTTAACAGAGAGTATCACCCTTCCTAGAATCTCATCCTTCCCGGGTCCAACTCTATCCTCAACGCTCACAATTATGAAGTCCTCGAAAGGCTCAGACACCACAAACATGAGCTCTTCATTCCAAACCGGGTTAACCATCCGCATTTGCGACGGCCTCGTTTGTCTGAGCTGATTCCCGAGCAGAACCTGTTTCCATATTCTAATCATGTCATAAATCTGAAACTGAAATCATTTTAGTATTCAGTGATGCAGATGATTTGATCCGAACATTACCTTCACGATCACATCAGGCGCGCGCCCTCTATCGGAGGGAATAAGGTCCTGAGCTTCAATGACGGCAACTCTAAGGTAATAGAGTTTGGGAGAGAAGTAAACCTTAGACCTCGTATTTGAAAGGTTGACATGGCTGATGTTATGGGCGTCGGAATGCCAAGCCTCCGGAAAGGACTCATCGGCCTGAGTTCCCATCCAAACGGCGAGCATGATTTCGCCCGTGGTCTTGATTCCGTGCTTGTCTTCCAATTTATACCATTGAGGAGCCAAAGGACTATCCGGTGGAACTCTCAGAGGAACTTCCGAGAGATCGAAAATAACTCTCCCGACGAAATCGTCCTTCACGATATCCTTATCCTTCACCGTCACTTCCAGCAAATTCGACTGCAATCTCTCCTTCGAGAAGCCGAAAATCTGCTTCCAAACAGGGTTCGGGTTCTTCTCCCAGTGCCTGGTCACTCCTTTGTAGTTCCCGAGCTTCACTTCCACATAAGGATCCAAACTTCCCGAGATGTCCATCACCGGAAGGTCTCTGGCCTTCACCACGCTCACGTACAAGTAATGCATCTGCTCCACGAGGTCGTACGTGCTCGCCGTCTTGTCGCCTCGTCTGTACCGCAACCGCGCCGCCACCGGCGGCCGCGGCTCCACCAGCGCAAACTCC